ACAATAACAAAAACGAGCGCCCAACCCCCCCCCCAGCGCCCCCCACCACCGCCCCCCCCCGCCACACCCCGCCTCCCATGCCCCCCACACCACCCACACCCCACCCACACCCCACACCCCCGCAGCTGGAGGCCATCATCAACGACACCGTCAAGGCGGAGGCGCCGCTGTTTGGGTTTGAGCAGGAGTACACGATGCTGTCCAAGGGCGGCCACGTGTACGGCTGGCCCGCTGGCGGCTTCCCCGCCCCGCAGGGCCCCTTCTACTGCGGCGTGGGCCCCGAGTCGGTGTACGGCCGCGACCTGGCCGAGGCGCACATGGACGCCTGCATCAAGGTGGGTGTGGTGTGGTGTGGTGTGCGGGTGTGGTGTGTGGGTGTGTGTCGGTGGTGGGGGGCGTGAAGCCGGGCTGGGCTGGTCTGGGACGCCCTGGCTGGGTTCCGGCATGGGGCGCATGCGCCGGCCACTGCTGCACGCGCCAGCCGGAAACTCCCAGCCGCCGCCTCATGTGAGCCCTCCCTCCCTCCCTCCCTGCCTGCCCGCCCCCTTCAGGCCGGCCTGATCATCAGCGGCATCAACGCCGAGGTCATGCCCGGCCAGTGGGAGTTCCAGATCGGCCCCACCGGGCCCCTGGAGACCGGCGACCAGGTGGGCGGCGGCGGCGCGCAACGGCACGTGGGCTTGCCCTGTTGCACAGCGTGCGGGTGTGGGTGCAGGCGTGGGTGCGGGTGCGGGTTTGCGTTTGCATCTCCCACCCACGCGCCGCTGCTGCCTGCCAGCCTGTGCCGCGCCTCGCAGCGTGACCTGCTTGCCGGCGGGCTGCGCCTTCTGCACATGCAACCTACCTGCCTGCCTGCCCACCTCCCTGCGGCTCACGTGCCTGCCACTGCCGCCGTGGATGCGCGCAGGTCATGATTGCGCGCTGGCTGCTGCACCGTCTGGGCGAGGAGTTTGGCATCGTCTCCACCTTTGCGCCCAAGCCCATGAAGGGAGACTGGTGAGGGGGCGTGGGGGCTGGGGGGGGCAGCCGGGGGCGTGCCTGCTTGGTGCCGCCGGGCCCGCGGTGCCTGCCGCTGATGCCTGCCGTCGCTCCCCTCCCCATTGCCTGCCCATACCCACCCACACCCCGCATCATACCCCGCACACTATCGGCAAACCACCCACCCACCGCGCGCAGGAACGGCACGGGCGCCCACACCAACTACTCCACCAAGAGCATGCGCGAGGACGGTGGCATGAAGGCCATCGAGGCCGCCATCGAGCGCCTGTCCAAGTGCCACCCCGAGCACATCACGCAGTACGGCACCGGCAACGAGGAGCGCCTGACGGGTGAGGCTGCTGCTGCTGCTTCTGCTGCTGGTGCCGCCGCCCTTCCGAGGGCGGCGGGGCTGGACGGTATCGGCCGCGCTTGCCTGCTGCTTCCGTCCCGCCTCGATGCAGCCTCCCTTGGCCGCGCTGCGCGCCTGCCACTCTCCGCAAACCGCCGCCGCCGCCCGACCATGCCACCCGCCCGGCCTGTGTCCCCGCCCACAGGCAAGCACGAGACGTGCGACATCAACACCTTCCGCTACGGCGTGGCCGACCGCGGCTCCTCCATCCGCATCCCGCTGCCCGTGCAGCTGGCCGGTGTGTGGCCCGCGCCCTGCGCCGCGCCGCTTGCCTCGCTGGCGCTGCCGCTTGGGCTGGCTGGCGTTGCAACTCCCTGGGTGGCGTTGCAGCTCCCACCCTCCCAGCAGCCCCAGCCTTTGTCTCGCCCTCCACGCCTCAGCCCCCTCCCCTCTGCCCGCTGCCCTCCCCCTGCCCTCCCGCCCGCAGGCAAGGGCTACCTGGAGGACCGCCGCCCCGCCGCCAACGTGGACCCCTAGTGAGTGCCGGCCGCCCGGCTGTCGATTGCCTGTGCTGCGCTGCGGGCTCCGCCGCTGCGGCCCTGGGCCGGGCATGGCCAGCACAAGCTCGCAGGCTGCTGGTGGCAGGCAGCCGTGCGTGGGGGGCGCACCCAGGCTGCCATGTGCCCGCGCCTGCCGTGCCCTACACGCATCTGCCTGCCCACCCCTGCCCTGCCTAACCACATCTGCCAACTTGTCCACGCTGTGCAGCACCGTGGTGCGCCTGCTGATCAAGAACACCCTGCTCTGAGCGGCTGCCTGATGGAGGGACCTCGGCGAGAGAGGCCCGGCCGCATGTTGCAACCATATTGGCTGGTTGCAACCATACTGGCTGCGGCGGCCCGCGCTTATTTTATTCATTCATGACATCCATCCCCGCCCCGTCCACTCCCCTGCCGCTTGCGCGTGCCCTTGACCCATCTGCAACCACCCTCCTTCCCGCCCATGGCACAGCCTGGCTGGCAGCTGCCGGCCTGCCTCAGTCAGGGTTTTCTGTCGGCAGCAGATGTGGGCAGCAAACGTGGGCCGGCGTCTGCTGCTGATGGTTGGGTAAACACTGAAATACACCCCCACCCGCCCGCTATATATTGGTGCGTTACACGGTGTGTGGCGGCGGGCCATACAGCAAGAGGCAAGACCCTGCAGCCTGCACAAGGACTAGGAAAAAAGTACAGCGAAACAGCAAGTGAATGCGCCGAGTGTCGGGTGCGACTCGGCGGCGAGGTGCCGGTGCGGCAAGGGCATGGGTTGGTTTGTTGTTGGAAACAGTGCAAGAGGGAGAGCGAGGAGGGGAGGGACAAGTGTAGGGGACGCGGGACGGCCGTGGGCCGCTGGAGGGCTGGGCGAGCGGTGGCAGCGGCGCCCTGCCGCGCTCGCGGCGCCGGCAACTCTACAGCCGAGGTTGCCACGCGGATGCCGCGCAATGCGGCCTAATGTAGGGTGGAACCGGGCGAGGCGGCGCAGAGTAGCGCAGCGCTGGTGAGCGCGGCGGGTGGTGGCCGCGCCGCCGCCGCAGGGCCGCCTCAGGCAGCCTGTTCGCGGCGGCGAGGGCGGCCACACGCTCTAGGGCCGCCAGCTAGGGGCCAGCCATGCCGCCTGCTGCGAGGGCAGGCCGGCCAGGGGCGCCGCTGCCACGCCGCCGGGCTGCTCAGTGGTGGCCGCCGGACGAGGGCAGGCGCTTGAGCACAAAGAACTCGCCGCCCTCGATGATCTGCTTGGGCGGCTGCCCGTCCTCAATAATGCCCCACCACACCTGCGGGCGGAGGCAGGACACCAGGCAGCAGCAGGTGGGCGGCGGGCAGCGGCAGCGGCAGCGGCAGCGGCAGCACCGCGGCCAGCAGGCAGCGGCAGCGCCCGCGCCCTGGGTCCCCAGCCAGGCCTCCATCAACCCGCCAGCTGCCAAATCCACGCCAACACGCGCACACACAGCGCATAGCATACGCATCCAAGGACCCCCCACCCCACCCCCACCGCCGCCAGGCTCACCAGCGAGTCGTCGTCTGGGTCGCTCACCCCCACAATGCGCTCCGCAAACTCAGAGGGCACCACCACCGGGTTCTCCTCGGTGCCAAAGGGGGCATCCAGCCTGCGGGTGCCCGGGGGGGGAGGCAGGGAAGGATGGTGGGCGGCGCTGAGGAGGTTGGAGGAGCAGGAGCGGCGGCGTGCTGAGGAGCGGCGGCTGCGCAGCGCGGCCCTGCCGCCGCATCTGCTGCTGGGCACGCCCCGCCGGGTGGCCGCCGCGCTGCTCAGCTGCGCAGCGCGCCACCTCGCCAGCGCTCCGGATACCGCCACGGGTTGCAGCAAGCACCGACACCAGCCGCCGCATTCACCCACAGCCCAGCCAGCGGCATGAGCAGCCCAAATCGCCCCCCCCCCCCCAAA